GCGCCTTGAAATTTTCTACAATTTGGTATATTTGCTTTCTCAATGCTGGATAGATCATCTTATCCGATTAGATCTTTTTTGCAAGTGACCGCGAACTTTCTGCTCAACATAATATTTATAGGAGTGTCTGAATATTTGGTGGATTCAGTAACGATTTAAGTTATAGTAAATTTCAAACATTCATTGATAATATCAATAAATCATCTTCTGACAAAGTACTATTGAAAAATATCAAATATAGTGATGTATGTTTCAATTTGGGTACTGATTTCCCAGAGAATGTTGAATGTAATATCGATTTACTTGTTAGTCGAAATTTGGGAGAAGAAAATCATACAATCTATATCATTCAAAATGTCACAAAATTTACAACAGGAAACGAAATAATTGACGTTCTAGCCATTGAAATAAAAACTAACAAACGTTGGTTTATGGTTAATGTTTTTCAAACACAAAATAATTAAAGTAAAGCAAAATAATTTCTTTTAATTGTTTCAAAATAAGAATAATGTTGAGAAAAAATTGAGAATTCGTAATATCAGACTTAATATTAGCATTGAAAGGACAACATATTATTGCAAGTAGTAGGATTATTTGTTGATGTTTGAAAAATTTGTATCATGCTATCTGTCAAAGAGGAAAGTCTATTCAGATATTTCGATTGATTTCAGTTCATATAAAAAACATGAATTTTGTTTCTTCTATTCTAATATTGGATGGAATATTGTATAGTTGAAGTTTTGAATCTAATTTTGATATATTTCGAGCGATTGAGATGAAATCAGACGAATTTTTCTTTCACATATAATCATCTGCAAGAATTTAAAATAAATTAGTACATAAACTGTTTAATCAATGGTATTTTGATATGAATTTAAGTCAATTTCTAGTTGTAAACTTGAGTTTATCAATTTTTCATATCAGTTAAATACAGTTAAGATGCAGTATTATTCAGAGTACTATCGAATTGTTGTCGAAAACCTATATTTTAAATCTTTAACTAAATTACAAACAATATCTTGAAATAACTCATACTACTAATCAGATACTTATTTCAAAGTTATGCTTGAAAATAATCTATTAGAATTTTGTCCAGCAATGATTATTTGAACTTATTTTTTTTAGACAAACCAGAGGAGGAAATCAATTTTCTTGTTGAAAGTATGAAGTATTTTCGTTCACGTGCTGAACGTCTTGGTGCAGAAGAAGTTAAAAATGATATGGCAGCACAATTGTTGAACGATGCGAAACAATTGTATAAAAAAACAAAAGCCGATAAGAAACATCAAACAGAGTTAACACCTGCTGATAAACAAATATTTGAGGTAAAAATTTCATATGTATATATAATCCATTGCATCTATTAATAGACAAAAACTCTTGTCTTTGAATATTAGTATTCTTATACATGTAAATATGCCTTTAAAAGAATCGTAGTCTTATTTTTACATTATTCAACGATCACAACGATGATTATTCATCTATTGAAAGAACAAATTGTTAGCTCTTGTCTACACTGAATTTTTAGTACATGTCCTTTTAACCAAGGAAAAGATAAAAACGAAATTGATCCCGTTCACTCTACTCACAGTTTATTGTTCTAATAATATAATAGATTATCATTGCAAATTAATTAGGTCAATGAGTCACTATAAATTAATCAGATACTTATCGAGTCAATAAGAACTTTGATTTTGTCACAAATTATTTCTGTTAAACTTATGTACTTACCATTTATCATAACGTAGTTGTCTTATAATATTGTTTTGTAGAATTATGGTGATAATAATGTTGAACATGACAATGAAGATGAAGATCAATTTTTCTAATTTCAAAAAAAAAAGTAAATAGATTAACATGAAAATACAAGAATTATTTCATTTTTAAAAATACATTAAAAAAACATCTCATTTGATATTTGAAAAAATCCTACTTCTCTCGTATTGCTGATATTGATCATGCTCGAGAATATGAGATATAAATTTGTTTGCTTGAATAGATTGCACCATTCTAAATCATACTTAAATGTTAAAAGGCATATGATATAAAAGATCACTACAGAGTATTGTGTCAAAGGAAGAATAATTACTTCTTTCATTGCAAAGCACTACATATTCTCTTTTGCATGTATCAAATAAAAAACCTGCTAAATGAATGCACGATACAATAGAGAGAAACATGAAAATCTTCCTGTTATGTGAAAATCGTAGATGTGTCAAAAAGTTTATTTATTTTCATCCTTCATTTTACATAAGAATAGCCTAATTTCAAATAAATAACAGGAAGAAAAACAAAATAATCTCTGTAACAAAAACAAATAATGTCTCATTTTTTCAAGGCATGTTCAGCATGCCACAATGCTCGCTTATAATAAAATACTAATGCTTTTATTCCTTGAAATTGTTCATTTTCATATTGATATTGCCAATAAATAAATGTAAAATCTTCACAAGTACATAAAATGATCTCATCAACAATTAAATGAAATACTTCTTGTTCTGTTTGTGAGGGTGTGGGTGTGGGTGTGGGTGTGGGTGTGGGTGTTAATCTTTTCGTTATTCATACCCACACCCACATCCCACCCGATGCATGTGTAATATGATTGTGGTTCTTCAATAGCGTGTACATGGATATTTGTTGTCTACGAGACTTTCCCTGTCAATACTCATTCTATGGTAAATAATATACAAATATTTTGATGCAATGAAACTAATTTAAATAAAAAATAAAAGAGTCTTATTTATTCAAAATGACATTCCAACTAATTGATTCTACTTTTTTATTCAGTTCATTTCAAATGATGGTCCATATGGACTAGAAGCATATGACTGAAAACTTCATTGATGAAGAATTCTTCTGTTCTATTTGCGTTCGTCCATTCGAAGAATCTGTCTATACTAATCTGTGATATGTACGAGGAAGAATTCACAGTTGATGAACTGAACAGATGTTTATAATTTTTCTGGACACAGATATTTGTTTTGTGTAAAAAAACATTGTTTATTAGAGTAAAAATATCAATTTTATGATTATACTCGATGAGAATTATCAATAGAAAAGTATTAAATAAAGGGTGTAATTATGTACATGAGTGTAGCTTTAGTCTTCGAACACACTCCCATACTCTATCAAATATCAGTCACATCGATGAGGATGATTAAGCAGGAGTGGTCGTAACTTACATGCAATGCTCCCTAAAGTACCCAATACCAATTAGCTGCGTAAGTATTTAGCTAGTTACTTAGTTTTTATAGCACTGTATAGAATAGTTTTTCAGTATGTTAGTCGATTTAAGGGCTACGAGCATTCAGGAATCAGTAGTAAAGAAAGGAAAAGTACTCTAAAGTTTCTGCAACATACTGGAGACAGAATATCCTTTTCGGTATCTTATATAGAGTGTTTTTAGTAGAATATCATGTGAAGTACTGACCATGTGCTTGCACCCACACTCAGCTTCATCCTTTTAAAAAAATTAGTTAGATGAAAGTCTTGCTTCAATACTGATTCCATATCTTTTTGGTACATTATTATTGGTAAACAATAATATCACTATCAAACATATTTGTGTCCTCAAAAGTTTATATATTTAGAAAAAATGTAAATAACAAATAACAAATAAAATTTGTCTTGATTTCATTTACAGTTCTATGTCCTTTTTGGCAATTAAATCTATTTGATTTGATTATTTAATGCATAATCAGAACGATGAGAATAATAACTGAGATAATATGTTTTCAACGTTGATCATTCAAGAAAAAAATATTGACCAGCTGATTTTTGTTCCTTATCCTAATTCATACAAAGATACAAAATTAATCGTAAAGAAAAACCTTCTCTGTGAAATTAAATTTACTCTGAAAGATCCTTTCTTATTAATACGTGGTCGACCATTTCTTGGATCTCGTCGAAATGTTATTTCGAGTTGTTTTAAAAATGAATTCATACCCGTTAGAAGTGCTTGTGGTCTATATAAAGACAATAATTATATTTTTCTAGTAAAAAATTCAACTAGTAGTTCTCATACTCAGATGCATGAGTTTTCATGGATGGTTCTCCATCAAAGACAATAACACGATCAGCCAAATATGTTGCCATGAGAAAATCATGTTCAACAACAAACCCTACTTTTTTATAATGAAGAAGAAATCTAGGAGAAAATATTTAATGGATTTCCAATTTCCCTTGATTACTATCTTCTTTACCGTTTTATAGCCCGTGCAGCATGTAAACGTTGTTCAGAATCAAGAAAAGCTGATGGTTCATCAATTAAATAAACATCAGCTGACTTTCCTAAACATAAACATAATGCAACACGTTGTAATTCACCACCAGATAAATCTTGAACCTCAAAATAAACTATTTTACATACGAAAGAAAAACATAAAATATCAAATTTACTTGATTATCAATTATTTTATCGATTTGAAGTGGTCGTGAAACATCCGTTCGAAATTGTGGAAGAAACATTGTTTCACCAATTTTTGCATGAAGTAAATCACGAACTGTACCAGTAAATTTCGGACTAATCTTTTGTGGTTTATAGGAAATATTCATGTGAGGCATTTTGACTAAATATTTAAAAGAAATATAGTCTTAGCATGAAAATTTCAATTTCAATTAAACTGAACATTAAATTTCTCGAAGACACATGTTAATGTTCCTTGGAAACTTCATGTTTATCTAGTGTATACGAATATGTCGGTCTCTTCATCAAAATTTCATACTTCTCAGTAAATATTTTCGTAGAAAATCTTAGAAATGGATTTATAATTATAAATTCTTTATAACTTTCTGTTCTAATATGGATGTATATTCTCATTTGAATTAAATGTAATGAAATAAATGGCAATTTAATAGTTGTAAATGAACTAACCTCCATTATCGGGTTCTAATTTACCAGCTAACATTTGAATCAAAGTTGTTTTACCTAGAAATAGAAAATGTTTCAGAATTCTATGATCAATATCTTTATATCTTTATTTATTTTTTTTATAAATTTCTTTACCAGTTCCATTTTCTCCAAGTAGAACAATAATTTCCGATTCTGTAAAGGAACCAGCATCAATAGATAAATCAAAAGAGCCTAGATTTTTTTTCATAGTAGGATAATAATATGTTGATAAACGTCTGACTTCTTCTTGGGATGCTGTTTCAACAACTTTAAAAGTTAACTCAACATCTCGAAAACGTAAATTTTCTGTTCGAATAAAACCATCCAAAAATATGTTAATACCTACAAGCAAAAAATAATAAAATCATATAATAATATTTTCATGTCTTTTTTACCTTCACGAACAGAAAAAGGCATTGTTACAACACCATAATGACTAGGTGAACCATATAAAACACAAATAAAATCCGATAAATAATCAAGTACCGAAAGATCATGTTCAACGGCGATAATGTATCTGTACCAAAAAAGAAACAATACGATAAAAAAAGGATGTGGATGTGATTTATGGTCTCAATACATATCTTACTAAATAGAATTTCAGTTAAATTTTACTATAATGTTTAATCCTCTAAACTATAGAGAAAAATCCTTTCAACTTGCTATGCTGTACTTTTTATTATCTAGTGTGAAATAACGATACGAAATTTACCATTATATTTGTGACATATAGAAAATAAAATTTCATTCTACAAATATTATACAGTTAACATAGGATAATAAATCTTCTTTATATTCCTGATGTATACGAAAGAATTTTATTTTCAAATGTCCTAAAAGCATGCTGGTTTTCTTTAGCAATAGGTTGACCTTTCGAAGAATGTATAAATAACTGATCAGTATTTGAATGTACAATAATAAAGAACAACAATCAGAATAACATACCGATTTTCTTGAATAAGGTTTCGAATAGCCACAGCAGCTTTTAAGCGTTGTTTAATGTCAAGATAACTTGATGGTTCATCAAATATGTATATATCTCCCTTTTGCATACAAGTCATAGCACATGTAAATCTTTGCAATTCTCCACCAGACAAATCAGATATCTGTCGATCTTGAACATTTGATAAATCAAATGATTCATATATTTCACCTTGGTCACTTAGTTCATTTGTTCTTTCTAATACATCACGTACATGACCCTAGCAAAAACAACAATAATCTTTAAAAAAAAAAGAAATTGATCGGTCAAATTTAATTTACTTGTACAAGTTGTGGAATTCGATCGACATCCTGTCTTTTGAATACAGTTTTAAGATTTTCCTCGAGAATCTTCGTAAAATAACTTTGTAATTCACTACCACGAAAATATTTTATTATTTCTTGCCAATCCGGTGGTGTCTAAATCAAATAAAAATTGAATATATAATATTAAACCTAAAATAATATCTTTTTATTTTCAATACCGAATATCTACCCAAATTAGGTTTTAACTTTCCAGCTAAAACTTTTAATGCTGTTGTTTTACCTGTACCATTTGAGCCAACAAGACCTAAAACTTGGCCTTGTCGTGGTATTGGTAAACGGTGTAATTTAAATGAATTCAATCCATAGCGGTGAGTTGTATCTTTATCAAGATTACTTGGTAAATTAATAATACTTATTGCATCGAATGGACATTGCCTCACACATATACCACAACCAATACATAATTCTTCTGATATATTAGAATTAGTTGATTCAGGTTTTACTTCAATACACAATTTTCCTGTTCTATTAACTGGACTAAAATAATGAGAATCTAATAAAGTATTCAAATAAAATATAAGATTTAATAAACTAACCATGATCGTCTACATTCTTGATTACATCTTTTAGGTTTACATCGATCGTCATTTACTATAGCAATTCGTGTTAAAGATTCTTGTTCACGATCTC